TATGGGGGGTGGAGAGAAAAAGAGAGATTCTTGTGTATGTAATTCTACAGCAAGAGGAAGACGGGAATGGAATTAATATGAGAAAAAGAAAAATGGAAATGAAGTCTTTGTTGATAGGGAGGGGTGGAAGGGTTGATGGGAGGGCAAGGGAATGGGGAAAATATAAGAACCAAGATGGATTTTGTAAAGGTGCAGAATTCCAATGATGAATGTCATTACATTGTATACCTAAAATGTACCAATAAGATAAAATTTTTAAAAATTTGGATTCCAGGAGTCCAGATTGGTGCTATTTTCTGGTTCAGCATTTCCACATTTAGCCACCACAATCATTGTGGTTGGAAAAGAGCATGCAGGAAGATCAAGCAGTGTATTTTCTTTCCCTCCATCCCAAACTGACAACCGGAGCTTGCTTTTACTCGCAGCTCATTTGTTATAAGCAGTCACATGATTTTGCCTGTTTGTAAGATGGCTGGTATGTTTTGTGCTCTCCAACTGACAAGGAAGAAAACTGGGCTTCAGGCAGCCTTAGGAATGCTCCCAGACCTTATATGGGAACAGATCTGTTTATTTTAAAAATATAACTATTTCTTGAAGCCTTGTATTCACTGATTGCATGGTATTTTCCTTGCATTTATTATTTTTCCAAAATTTGTATATTCCTTTAGCTCCTTTGTAGCCCTTGGCCAGCATTGCAGTCAACTGTTTTTAAAGTAAAGATTTACCTTGGCCTCTATGGTCTGTACCTCAATGGATTCTTCTAGTTGTCTCTCTAGCTCCTTGCTTCCCACCAGCTGGCTGTTCTTTAGAGTCTCTAGTTCCTGAAAAGAACTGAAATTCTGGACCCTCACACTCCAGAAGGACCCTGTGTCCATTAACAGAAATTAGTCTTGTGCTGTCTTTGTTAACATCGCTCCACTCTCCCTGGGGATTCCAGCCCAGGTAATGATATGCTTGGTCCAGAACTTCCTGGAAGCATTAACAGCCCTAACCCCATGATTATTGGAATCCCACTGTCAAAGCCCTCTCAGTGCTGCTTTCTGCAGTCTTGGCTGCTATGTATGATCATTCTCCAGTCCCTGAACCGAAAGATCCAATTTACACCTAACTTCTCATTGGCCGTGAATTCCAACTTCACCTCTTGCTGCTTCAAGACACTGCTGAACCTCTGTGGAGAAAGTGTTCTTCCTTACACAGAAAGTGCTAAACCTAGTTTTGCCACACAGTGTTGGGAGTCAGGTCTGGATTTACTGCTTATGCGGTTTCTGCTCTTTTGCTTCGTTGATTTAGATCAGACCATTGTTTAAAATATCTTCTCTTTTCCTAATATTGATATTTTAATTTTACTGCTGACTCCATCTTTTGCTGTTGCTGTTTTTATCATCTTTGATCTACATTTCATAGCCAATAATCAAATTACTCCAGCCTCAGCAGTCTGATTGCCAGAACCGGAGCTAGAATCTGCCTTCTCAGATCCCTGCTTTCCTAAGAGAGAAGGGCAGAGTATTTATTGGCGTGTGTGTCCCCACTTTTCCCCAGGCTACTCAGAAATTCATGAAAATGAGAATTTCATCAGAATGAAATCCAGAAGCAGAAAATGTGATCTTCTTTGGAAACAGGACTTCTGCAGGTAGATAAGGATCAAGAGGAAATTAATGTGGACTAGGACGGGCTCTATAGTGCAATAACTGGTGTCTGTCACAGCAGAAGAGGACACACAGAGTAGGCCACAGCAGACAAAGGAGACTGCTCAGAGGGCAGCAGCCAACGTGGTACAACTGCAAGCCCAAGCTGAAGGCAGCCCAGGAGCCACTGAGAGCTGGGAAGGGGCTAGGAAACGTTCTTCTCTGGCCCTTCAGATTGACAGTCTGTACTGAGGCCTTGAATTAGGACCTAGACGTCAGAAAAGGGAGCTAACTTCTTCTGTGTTAGAGCACTTGTTCCTGCCAGAGCCCACAGCATTGCTTATGCCCTGAACGTGCTGTGAGCAGTGCGGGCTGAAAAGGGTTCAATCCCTCGAGTGGCTGGCTGTAAGGAGCGAGTGTGACCGAAGCTCCGTGACTCACAGGAGGATCTGCTGAGCACTGCAGGAGCACATAGGTTAACGTGACCTCCCCGCTAACGGCCACACCAGAGTGACGGCCTGTGAAGCTGTGGGGCTGATACGAGACGGCATCCGCAGCTGAGGTTGGATCAATCGCACCCAAACGCCATTCCCACAACCAGTGCCTTCATAGCTCGAAGGACACTGCTGCCATTACAACCGTATGTTTTGTCGATTCTGTTCCTGAAAACGCTTTGACTCCTCTTTAAAGCCTCGCCTGCGTTTGTTTCCATGCTAACCTCACGTACCACACATCTATACGGGTATTGCACCTTTATCCTGATTGAGGAATAATAAAATTCGGTGGAAGAGACGGGCCACGCCTTTTGCTGAAGGAGCACCGGCCGTCCCGGTTCACACTTTCTCTGTAACTCTGTCTTAAGTTTTTCTCCAGCCCTGTGTTGCGCACTGGGCAGGTGGGGACTAGGGACTCACTGCAGGGGTCTCTGGCATGTTCTAGTAAAATTTTTTATATCAATTAGCTAAACTAGGAAAACTGAAATTATCTTCCAGGTCCTGGTGCACTCCAACCCCGCGTTCCAGAACCAGCTTTGCCTGATGACAAGAATGCGAGCAGCTGAAGATTCGAGCGCTGGAGTGATCCATGGCAAGGCAGCTCCGTAATGTGAGGGGCGGGGCTCCCAGCTTCACGCCTGCCTGCCTGAGGAGAGGACTTAGGGATGCTCACGAGGGAAAGGGGCGGTGTGCGGTGTGGCGAAGGTGACGGGGGGCACAGTAAGAGGTGGTCCGCAGAGGCAGAAGCAGAGTTCATGGGCCTCGTGGAACTCGTGTGCAGGAAAGGGCAGCGTCGTCAGGGTCCGTGGTGGACTTCTTGGTCCTCTGGTGTCAAAGGTCACACTGAGCAACTGTGAAGGCCCAGATCAGGTCAAGGGCTGGGTGGTTTCATCGCATTTGAGCTGGACCAGGATACTGCCAAGGCCTCCAAACAAAACACAACAAAACAAAACAGTCATTACCAAGGTAACAACACATCAGGAGTGTTGTCTGCAGAAAAACTCACTGGGTCTAACACCTTATTTTTTAGCTAAAGGACTTCTACAATCAATGTTAAAAGCAAGCAACTAAATCCAAACGAAGCTGTTCAGGTTTTCTCTCGGCTTCAAAAGAAAGCTTATGCTCTTTGGTTCTTAGACTTTAACCAAGGAGGCTGAATGGCAAGTCTCTTATGGAAGAAAAACAATTCATTAATTTTGTTTCAGGAACTTTTTTGCCTGCATGTGAGATAGATTTTGCCTTATGATGTATTTATTCATGTCCTGTCCTTGCGCTGTACAACTGCACTATGATTCCTCTGTAAGCATGCCCACATTTTTTACTTACTCTCGCTCATTATGCATATAACAGGCTTATGAATTGAGTTGATATTTTTTAAATTAACTCAGATTTGTTAATGGGTTTGTAGTAGATAAATCTGGAGACCATGAAAGGTTGAAGACTTGAGAAGAAGAATGTGGCTCGAAAAGTATGAACATCAGCCTCATTCCAGATCTGTACACTAAAGACAGGGCTTCTGCAGGGGCCTGCTTGTTTCTTTAAGAAACTCTAACTTTAGTGTTTATGGGGTTATCCTATGAATCTAAAAGTGAAGAAATTCTTTTCAAAGCCATATGATAATTTTATGATCATTAAGGTATTGGATCCATTGCTTACTATTGTTTTACTGAATTCAAAGAAAAATAGCATCTAAAGCAAGAGAATAATAAGGCAAAATCTGTGCTTCAGTGACAAACTCAGGAGGACACATTCCTGGGTTACCCGATGCTGATCACCCGATGAAAGCTATTTTGTAGCCCTGTCAATTACAAATAACAAATAGGACTGCAAACTTACTCTTATATGTAGGCAAATTCTGTCCTGCCCAGTAAGGTTCAACCAATGATCTGCAACATCATGGAAAATACTGTTTTCCTTCAGTACACACATTTCAATATTCCCCATCTACAGATGTGTCTGTTCTTTGAGTTTCTTCTTACTCAGTCACAGTATCTATCTGGCTTCTTTGCTGATTATAAGCATAATGAAATCTTTACACATTGTCGCTTTCTTATCTGATATTACCTCCCTTAAAAATTAACTTTTTAGGGCCGCTGATTTAGCTCAGTGGTTCCACCACCTGTCTCGCAAGCGCAAGGTCCTGAGTTCGAAAAAAAATTGACTTTTTACAAAAGTGAACCTTTGGTTTCATTCTTCTGAGTTTTGTTAGAAATTCTGGCCACCTAATATGCAGACTCCATGTAAACATTCATCAAAATATTGATGAGTGGACAGAGAAAGATGTATATACACAATGGAATACCATTCAGCCATAAAAAAACACGTTCCTGTCACTTGTCACAATAGGCTTAAGCTGAGAGGACATTATCCTGAGTGAAAGAAGTCATGCACTGCAAGACAAACACCACATACCTTCCCTGATATGTGGCATCATGAAAACCTGGTCTCATAGAAGTTGGGAGTAGCCCAGTGGTTACCAGGCCTGGGGAGAGGTGGGGGGATGGGAATGGAAGCCCTTAGTCAAGGGGGGAGTTGGCAAGTTACAGCTGAAGAAGGGGTCCTGATGGCCTATGGCATGGTAGGTGACCGCAGAGAAGAACGCACTTCATGTTTCAAAATAGCTTCAAGAGTGGACTTTGAATGTTCTCACCACAAAGAAACAGTTCTGTTTGCTTTGAGATGTAGAGATATCTTGGTCACTAGGAGTATTCAAGTGCAATTTGTACAGTCTTACAGGAATCATTTTACTGTTGATTAAAGTATTGGTCCAGAGCATCTGGAGAGATAACCCAGAGTCACTGATTTCGAGATTCAGTTGGACCGTGGGGCTTTGAGAGCTTGAGCAGCTGCTATATCATGCTTCTCCTGCAGCCAGGTAACGCGTGTGTCTTTGCGTGTGTCACCCACGGTGAGAGTTTTCTTCTCACTCTGAGTTCTGGCTCAGCTTCCAGAGTGGAAGGCAGAGTGTGATAGGATGCCTCGGTGTGCATGGTTTAAGAGTCACTTGCAGAGAACTGGGTGTTTCTCGGCTTGCTGGAATCACAGGACAAGATCCCGGCACCTCGCTGGGTGTTGGGAGGCTGCAGAAACCCAGGCTTTCTCTCTGGACACAGTGACAAAGAGCTAGGCGTTTGTGACCTCAGGGGTTTGGGCTGACTGAAACTCTGGTGATTGATTCTTCCCTGAAAGAGTCCAAGGCTGGAACTGGAGTTGCTTGACGGCGAGATCAAAGATTGTGGCTACAAAAGGAGCGGTCAGTCCTGAGAGCAGTCGGTGGGCAGGAGAAATGGATTGCTTCCCCAAGCCAGAGGCAAGAGCTGGACGGTGGCCAGGTGTGAGTCAGTAGGAAGGAACGCTAGGCCAGGAGGCACTCCTCTCTGAGTACCGCCTGGGCAAAAGTGGAGCGCCAGTGGCGAGTCATCTGCTGGCCAGAAATGTACTGCTTGAGTTAAGAAACAGGACAACATTAGCCAGACGACGGGGTGAGAGCAGAGAAGAGAATGAGGAACTGCCAGATCCAAGCCCAGACAAACAGCATTTGGGCACCCGCCATGACAGAAGGCCCACATTTCATGTTGCAAGCGCACCCGTCCCTCCAGAGTGTGTCCTCCTCCCTCTCATTCTTCCCCTCCCCCTCCTAAGGGAGCCATCCGGAGTGTGGGGAGGGGGCTGGGCTGCTGGAGGAGCAAGGGGCGAGGACGGTGAGGCAAACTGTGGAGACTGTGGAGGGCCTGGGCTGGATGGGGGCTGGGACGGGGAGAAGTGGGAGAGACGGGACTGCGACGTACTTCTGTGAGTACCTATAAGTACTTTGCGTAAGGTACGTTTTATATGAGCTCCTTTCTGTCAGTCCAAGTGAGACGAAGCTGGGTCGAGCAGACAGAGACAAGGAGGCCAGGAGGCGGGTTTATGGCCCTGGTGGGGACTGTTTTCAACTCACCTCTCTCCATGCACGGCCACTTCATAACCTGCTCCAATCGCCGGGGCAAACCTTCCTATGCCAAGCTCAGCTCCCAGTGCCACGTGGCTCTGTCTTGCAGCGGCAGTTCCGTGCTGCTCTGCTCACCACACTCTGAGCTCTAGGTCGTTGGAGACGTTCTTCTCGTGGCCTGGTAGAATACTGATGTTTTCTCTCTCCGCTGTCGTTGCCTTCCAGAGTGTACAATGTGGTCAGCGTCAGAGGTGAGTGACTCGAGGACGTTAGTTTAACTCACACGTTGAACGGTGGCTGAAGGGCTCTTTTTTCTTGGGGTTACTTTTTCCTATTCCTCAGCCACGTCTTCCAGTGATGACTCTTCATGTTCAAATCACTTCCCGCCTGGGTCAAATAAGAGAATGGAAAGAATGTTAGTGTATAATAACGCCATCCTTAACAAGTGGACTGAAGACGCAGGACGAGCCTGGCACTTGTTCGCCCTAAAACGGAAATTGTAAGTTGAAGGTGGATAAATTTCATATTTAAGGTCAGATCTGCAGAGGACTGTAACACTGATGATGCCCAAGCAGGCTGTGAGGAGCGAACCCCACACCTGGAGGCTGTTTACAGAAGTGAGTCTGGCTGAAGCCTACATGCCAAGGTCAGAGTGACTCACACCTAAGTTCCGTTCCCACAACTAAACCTTCAGACTAGAAGGACAGTGTTCTAACTACATTTGTATATTTTGTCTATGCTATTCCTAATTTCAGAATGCTTTGTCTTGTCCTTTATGAGCCTTGTTCACGTTAATTTCCATAGAAACCACATGTCGCCTTTACCCCAGTTGATTGCCAATAAAAGTCAGTGCCTGGGCTGCCCAGCACCTCTGGTAGTTGCACCGGCATTGGTCGTCCTGGCCCCAGATTTCTCTCTTAGTCCTGTCTCTTAGTGCATCTTTTTTTCTCAGGTCTGCGTGGCACACTGGGCAGGTGGGGACTGGAACCTGACTGCAGGGATCTCTGGCACAGATCTTCTAAGTACAGCACCTAAAATGTACCTGATTTTGAAGTTCTTGGTCCTGATTGATCCTTCTCCTCCGGCAAAGGACCGAAGACCGGGAGGGCTGCACTGAAGGGATTCAACGTGTGACGGACGCGTAGGAAAGGACCTTGAAGGGGAGGAACGAGGCAGCACTTCCTCCTGGGAACACCGAGAGTGGAGCCCCAGTATCTGGAACCTGAGTGACGGACGGTGGGGAGAGAGTCACTCAGAAATCTGATGTCTTTGGACTCCCTGAGGGCCAAAATGTCTGCTCACTTCCTTCCTTTAAAAAAATGTGTCTAACTGATACATAAAACAAAAATTGAAAATATTAATGGGGTAGTCAGGGATTCAGCTCAGCGGTTTGGTGGCCTGCCTTGCAAGCGCAAGGACCGGAGTTCAATCCCCGGTACCCCCCAAAAAAATTAATGTGGTGCCAGGCAATGTTTTAATAGGTGCATACAGCACAGTGTTTGAATCAGGCAAAACACCTCAGATGTGTACCACCACTGTGGTGAACACTTTGAAACCCTTCTTGACCGTTCCTAATGCTGTTCAGTCCTCAAGTGCCCACACCCTTCCAACACACTGTGGTAATCAAATCATTCTTCCTCCTCCTGGGCCGCAGGGCCAACTCCCCAGTTTTGTCCCAGGTTCGCAAACTCTGGACCTCTCCAGCCGCTGTGCTGTATTCCCCTCTTTCTCAGTGCCCAAGAGCCAAGAATCTTTTCACACTGCTCCTCCTTGTTCCAAACCCCTCTGTAAATCATGCTCCCTCCTGGATGTGGTTTTGACAGATGATTTTTTTTTCAGATTCGAGTCTCCTCCTCTCACCTCATATTCACCGGGTGTCTCCTGCACATTCGTGCCATCTCTGCTTAGCGGTCCACCCCTCTGGGGCGCTTTGCCTGCACCTGGGCCGGGGGGGGGGCACCTCCACGTGGTCTGAAGACCCCAGGGCTTTATCTCAGGTGTGCTTGGCACATGTCCTCTTCCACATCTGCTGTGACCCAGCAGGGCTGGTGCAGTGAGAGTAGGCCTGACCCTCAGGGTCCAGCGCATACCCGGTGCTCATCAGACACTTCTACACCCTGCGATCGATCCATGTTAAGGGTATTAGAAGGCTCACTTCGCTGTGAAACTTAGAATTAACCCATTTGCCTTCTGGGACCTGAAAACCAGTACTGATTTTTCCAATTCTTCTTGGAAAATTCTAGATTTCGATTTTAATATTCACTTGATGAGGTACATACATAGCAGGATTCACCTTACTTGTGTTTCTCTGGTTGTTTATATTTCTCTTTTACAGAACTTGTACATTTTATTATAAAAATCTCGGTGTGAAACCTGTCACTCTCAACACGGCCAGCACACAAGTGAGTGTGCCTCTTCATCTCAGCTCTGGGCTCTCCACACAGTAGGCACTCAGAGTCCTTGTGCGCCAACTTTGCCTACAGAAAACAATCCTTTCAGAAAAGTGACCCCTCTAGTGGCCAAACTACATCAGCACATTTTTCTCTACTCCAATCAACTCAAAAGAGGAGCCACAGTTTGGCAAATGCAAAAAGTAAGAATTAAATTTTGGTCTCTTAATCTTCTTATATGATAACAACACCAGTGCTTATCTTTTGTATGCCTTTGGAGTAAAGACAAAGGAAACGTGAAAAAGAAATCAACTAGTACTCTTGCTTTGCTACATTTTTGTGCACTGGTAACAGGGAATATAGCTTAATGCTATACTTTTCCTACTCGGAATCTAGTAGATTCTTGATACATTTACAGGATTGCCTTGTTTATGTTTGTCTTGATGCCACATATTTCCACAGAAGCATATTTTCATTCATCTCTTCATGTTAATGGAGCTTAACATTTGTTGAAAAATTACTGTTATTTGCTCAAAACATTCTTAGCATTTTTGCATTACTTACATGATTTTGCAAGATTTTTGTTTGTTTGCTTGTTTTTGTTTTGTTTTCTTCTTTTGGTACCGGGATCGAACTCAGGACCTTGAGCTTTCGAAGCAGGTGGTGGAATTGCTGAGCTAAAATCCCCAACCCAGCTTACATGATTTTGGAGGAGATAAAATAAATGACTCCAGTTTTCACACGTGCTACGTGTAACCCCTTTGGGAATTGCTTTCCTAGTAGTTTCATGATGCAACAATGATTTATGGGTCGGCTTTGATCTCAAGTTGACGAGACACTATAGGCTTTGGCTGTGGTAAGCTCCTATTCAGAGGGACTTAGTTATATTCAAGAGGGCCTTTGAGATGGGAATGACTTGGGCTCACCTTATTCAAAGCATGTGTGAATGGGGGTTCTTTTATTTAAAGAGTCTCCTGTGGTCATCCTGATCGTGTGTATGTGAATTTATTCATTCGTCAAGTCTTCAGGGGACGTTAGCACATGCTGGAGTTTAGAAACAAGGGCAGCGAAGGGGAGTGGGTGTGAAAGCAGTAAGTCGAGGTGGCTGCTGGAATTTGAGTCAGAGGGTTACCTTAGCCGGGTGCTGTTAGGAGGCAGTGGAGGTGATGCACATGAGGCATGCCTGTGAGAGGTCCTCCGGTCACCGGGGTGTGCTTGAGGCCAATGGCTCATTCTGGCTCACTCTCTGCCATGACTTGCTGCCTTGCCACAGCCCCAAAACCACAGGGCCAGGCAGTCATGAACTGAAAGTACCAAAACTGTAAGCTAAATAAAACTTTTCTCTATATAAATTGATTTTCTCGGGTTCCATACTTACAGGAATGGACAGCTAGCTGATGAAATAGAGATTGTCCCAAAATCTTGTGGTAGCAGGGGCATGAGTCATCCACACAACACAAGGAGTTTTAGAAAGCTTCCGGAAGGAGATAATGCTTGGGCTGTGAATTAATATGGAGATGGACATGAGAGAGGAAAGGAAAAATTGCAAGTAAAAGGTAATAGGAAAGTAGGGTAGAACGGGATGTTTGGTAGGAAGTCCAGGCATGACTGATGTGAGACATCCCAGCAATTTAGACACACAGCGGAAGTGCTGAGAAATGTAGAAAAAACGGCAGTCAATCCAGTCCTGAAGTCATGCCATGTTATTTTGTTAGAGTGGAAAGAGGTCAAGGAATTTTAAGACGGGGAAAAGATGCGGTTGAATTTGCCTGAAAGAAGTGTGAATTGGAGAAACATAAGACTAGAAAAAGCAAGACCAACTCAGAGGCAACTTAAATAACTCGCATAAAGATAGTGAAGGCCTTAGACAGAACAGCGGTCAGGACTAGAAGGGAGAGAGGGATCTGGGAAAACATTTAGAAGATACAGTCATCAGTTTGTGAGCTCAGAGAGGAAAGGAATTAAGGATGACTTTGCGGGCCCTAGACTGGGTGATGAATTAACCACAATTGTTGATGTTTGTCTGTTTGTTGTCCTACAGTTACTCTGGTTCTGAAGCTCAGATCAGGAGGGTTAGGTGTGGAATCACCAGGCAGACTCCAGGAAGGTTTCTGTTTTTAATAGGCAGAGCAATTGCTTATATAATCAAGGAGCTAGGGGAGGGACACTGTATGCTGGGCACAACATGATTGGTTGATGCTCTCCTACTTCTACATAAGGTGATCTTCTGGGTGAGTGATGGAGGCAGTGAATAAAGTCTCAACACATGAGAGTAAGCATTCTCAAACTCCTGAGTATCCCCTAGCCTGCTAGGAGAGGTGCGTGCGATGCACTTGGCTCAGCCATGCTTGAATTTCTCTCACACACAATGATTCCATTTACAAGTCCCAGGAAACCTATGTAAAAGTACAAATTCCTAATGATGAATGTATATCTTGCATACCTAAAATGTACCAAAAAACTTAGTTTAAAAAAAATTGAAAGTATGGTTAATAACACAGCTCAGTGGTAGAATTCTTGCCTATGTACACAAGGTCCTGAGTCGAATCTACAGAATCACCACCGAAGAAGGGAGGCTGAGGTGGGGCCTACACAAGTCCATCCCAGCACTCTGGCCAGGATTTAGAGGCAACACAAGCTGTTAGATACTCAGAAATGCTCCCATTTGACCGGAGGCACATGCCATGTGCTCCTAGCTAATAAAGACTGTTTTGCTAAAGGAGATGATGGGCTGTTAATCAGGTTTGGTGAGCAGGAGTTCGCAAGTCCTGCAGATGTCCTGGTTAGATGGGTGTGAGCCAGCAAGTAAGCCGTAACACAATTCAGAGACCTGGCACATTGATGGTATTTTAGGAACCCAGTGTTCAGAAACAGGCTGTATCCTTCTTTCTATTCAAGAAGATAGACAGACACACACTGTGTAACGTCTTGCTCAACATTTACAGTACTGGCCCCAGAAGATTCTATCACCCAGCAAATACACACTGTGATTACACAGAGAAAATATCCCATAATGTGCACTTCTCAGATCATAATCATACAGTTAAGCAACAGGAGACACTACTAACACAGCTGACATTTCCCCAGCAGCAAATCCCAAGACAAAGTTACAGTTTAACAAGTTCATCAGAAAATGATCCCAGAGAACACCACCAGGAGTACAGAAAGAGCAACAAAGAGGAATATTTTACAAACCAATTATGATTCTGTCTAAGTGGAGATTTATGCCATGGGAAATCTAGAAAGCAGTAACGCTTGAACTTGAAACTCACTCCACTAACATTTATCAGCTACTTCCTTTCCCCTGCAGTCTCGATGCCCACCATCTGCTGCTCTCATCTCCACTCATCTTGTTTGTTTTCCAGGTAGAGTAGCACAGACCTCGCCCTGGAGGAGCTGGGGGCTTCTGATGTCTTTGCCCAGTGGTAGCTGCTGCCACTGCCCATCCATGAATGTTATCGGGAGCCACATGAGCAGCCACAGACACTGGAGTCTTCAGAAGGTGAAGTAGAGATATAAATCCTTCCTGTTCCATTGCGGAGCATCAACTCCCCTCTCATGCTAATTGGTATCAACCAGGTCAGGTATAGGAAACTTCTTTCTGTGGGCACGGCATACCCTAAAGGACCACCAGGCAGTTAGGCCTTGTCAGAGTCTTACATTACCTCTGCTGGGTGATTTGCTATAGCCCAACACCCAGAGACCTGTGCCTCTCATCCAGTGGAATTCTTCCAGTCTGGATCCACAGCCATCTAGCTTACTCTCACCCATTAGAGTTCCCTACAGTGGCCACAGAGGTAAAGTATATATTGCATGGTGAAGGTCAACACTAGGGCTCTATAGGTAACAACTTTCGCCTGACATTTTAGCTATCTTTTTATGATTGCAACATTGTATCAGATCAAGAGCTTCCAGGTCAGTCCAGAGCTATAAAGATCAGTGGATTCCACTATAATAAGACCATTGAGGTAATGTTTTTTAAGATGTTAGTGAATGGGTTAAAAAAAACAGTAAGGATATAGAAGATCTTAATAACACTATGGTACTTACCACCAAAACTAATAACTGCAATACACGCATTCTTTTCTAGTTTGAACATTCACCCAAAAAGCCCATTTTATGAGGTCAGTGCAAATACACAGAAAAATACCACCCAAATAAAGAAAATTACAGGCTATAGAGATAAAAATCATTAAAAATTTAAGTATTTCCAACTCAATAAAGCATACTTTAAAAGGTAATATGTCCTTTAAAAGTAGGATTTGTTCCTTTAACTCAAGATTGGTTCATTTGGAAAGACTTGGAAATCTGTGATCATCTTAAAAGAACATAAATGAACTATGTGATTATCTAAATGGATGCATTTTAACAAAAATTAATAGATTCTTTGTAAACTAAGAAGCAAAGGGAACTTTCTCAACCTGATTTAAAAAACATCTACCTTTTAGCTATCAGCCCAAACTCATCCAGCTGCATGGGCAATGGGGAAAGTTGTGGATTCTCAGTGAGACCAGGATGGAAGCAAATGCGAAGCTTCTCAGTCCCGTGTCTCATTTCCATGTCTCATCGTACTGGGAATTCTGGCCATTGTAATAGACAAGAAACAGAAAGTAGAGACATAGAGATTGAGGCAACAAAGAAAACTTTTTATATACAGGCAGCATTAGTTAGTTGCACAAGATTTCCATAACAAAGTAACAAACACGGGATGGTTTAAAAGTGAAGGACTCTGATTCTCCTGCAGCTTCTGGAGGAGGATGTGGCATCTTTTCCAAGCCTCTGGTGGACTTGTATTGGTTTGTAGCTGTGCAGGTACGAAGGGTCACTGTCTTCGCGGGATACTCTCGCTCTGCACACTGCTGTCACACGGGGCTACATTCTCATGAGTCGCCAGTCGTGTTGAGTGGTGACCCACCCTCCTAATTTCGTCCTAACTTCATTAAATCTTTGAGACTCCTTTTCCAGATAAACTCATAGATATGACTATGTGGTAAGGTTACAAGTATCTTACTGGAGGACACATGCAACTCAGAACAAGAAGTGGCAATTGTGTCCATAGAAAATCATAAGGAATCCACAAAAACTTTTAGAATTAGTAAGTGAATGAGCTAGGCCAAACTGGTCCATTAAAAAAATCAATCAATATATGTCCGTTTAATGAACATGCACAATTTTTAATAGCAATAAAAACTTTTTTTACATTTGAGGACAAACTTCACAACTGCATACAACAATCTGCACTGAAAACTAACCAGCACTGCTACAAGTGACTAGTAACCAAAATTAATGGAGATAATTTGCTCATCTAATGGAAGACTAGACACTATTCTGGTGTCAATTCTCCCTGAATTTATCAATGGTTTTAAAATAATGCCAGCAAGCTTTTAGGATAGAATTTGACAAGCTGATTCAAATTATATGGGACAAATCAAAGCAATTTTAAAAAGAAGGAACAGGCCTGAGGTACTTGATTTCAAGTTCCACTTTAAAGCTATAACAGTTAAGATATGTAATATTAGCAAAAGAAGAGAAACAATGACCTGGGGAACTCAGCAGAGAATTTAGAAATAGACTGCAAAATGCCAAAGAATTTCAAGAAGGAAAGTAAAAATTTTTATGGTTTTGGAACAACTAGGTTCTCATATTGAAAAAATATTATTTCCATATCTAAATGTTAACTTGAAGTGAATCGCAAGCCTAAGTATAAGAGCTTAAAGAATTAAAACTTTCAGAAGAGAATACAGGAGAAAAAAATCTTTCAGTACTGAGTAGGCAATCCCTGTTGAAATTCCAACAGTATATTTCACAGAACTAGAGAAAACAATCCAAAAATTCATGTGGAATCAGAAGAGACCTAGAATAGCAAAAGCAATTAGAGGCAACAGAGACATGGCAGGGGATATCACAATCCCCAACTTGAAACTATACTACAAAGCCACTGTGACAAAAACAGCATGGTACTGGCAAAGAAACAGACCTGAGGATCAGTGGAATAGATTAGAAGATGCAGAAACAACTCCTGACGTACTCAACTACCTGATCTTTGACAGAGGAGCCAAACACCCTTTTTGGAGGAAAGATAGCCTCTTCAATAAATAGTGTTGGAAAAACTGGATTGCAACCTGCCAAAGATTAAAACTAGACCCCTGTCTTTCACCATGCACTAAACTAAAATCCAAGTGGATTGAAGATCTAAATATTAAAACAGAAACACCAAATTTATTGGAAGATAAATTAGGTAGAACTCTTAAAGATATCACCATAGGAAAAGACTTTATGTAGAAACCTTCAGTAGCATGGGAACTAGCACAAAGAATCAGCAATTGGGATCTCATCTTTTTTAAAAGCTTCTGCACTGCCAGAGAAATCGCAAGGAGAGCTAAGAGATAACCCACAATGTGGAAAGAAATTTTTAGCAGCTGTTCCTCAGACAAAAGTCTATCTAGAATATATAAAGAATTAAAAAAAAAATCAGACCCCCCAAATATAAAGACCCAATTCAAAAATGGGCATCTGGGTTCGGGCGCACGCACGGCGAGAAGCGGGGAGTTGTCATCAGCAAGACGGCTGCGAGCGGTCTGAGGCAGGGTGCTGCTGCAGCCAGCACCGCCGTGAAGCCCATTTTCAGTCGGGATATTAACGAGGCCAAGCGGAGGGTGTGCGAGCTCTACCGCGCCTGGTATCCGGAGGTGCCGAACACTGTGACCTTATTCCACCTAGCCATCCCTGTGAAACAGGGACGGGATAAAGTCCGAGAAATGTGTATGAAGAATGCCCACGTCACAGACCCCAGGGTGATCGATCTTCTGGTGGTTAAGGGAAAGATGGAACTGGAGGAAACAAATAAAAGCGTGGAAGCAACGGACACATGTAATGCGGTTCTTCCATGAAACAGAAGCATCAAGGCCAAAGAATTTCCTGTCCAAGTTCTATGCTGGCCATGACCCATTAAGCCACTTTGCTCAGTGGGAAGGTGCATGTTATTTAATTATTTTAGAGTACAGATAAATCAGTGATATGGTCGCAAAAAAAAGGGCATCTGAAATAAATAGACATTCCTCAGACTAAGAAGTAAAAGCAGCAAATAATCATATCAAAAAATGTTTAACATCGCTGGTCATTCAAGAGATGCAGATGAAAACAACACTGAGATTCCACTTCACCCCATTAAGAATGTCTGCTATCAAGAACTCAACTAATAACGAATGCTGGTGAGGCTGTGGGAAGAAAGGAACCCTTCTTCATTGTTGAGGGGAGTGCAGACTGGGCCACCACTGTGGAAATCAATGTGGAGATACCTCGAACAACTCGGATCAGAAGTCCCATTTGACCCAGCTATTCCTCTGCTAGGATCCTTCCAAAAGAATTAAAAGAATCACATCACAGCGATATATGCTGACCCATGTTTATATGGGCACAGTTTGTAACAGCTGAAACAAACAGCCTAATTACACATCAG